CAGGTTCAGAAGGTTTAGGTAGTGCAATAAGTGGTTAATATTGCAGTAATATAGTTAAACCTTTAAGTGCCTGAAGGTGGAATGTTCGACTCTGTTCTCCAAATTGATTTTCTTTTTTTTGTTTGTTTGGTTTTTTTTTTTTTTGGTACCGGGGATTGAACTCAGGTCATTGCGCTTGCGCAGCAGGCGGCGAAACCACTGAGCTAAATCCCCCGGCCCCTCCAAATTGATTTTCATTTGCACAATTTCATGCACATCAGTTATGGAATAGCAGGCTCTTTTTATAGTTTGAAATAATCATTTCAAAAATAAGCAACATGTCTTTAGGTGATTTTTTAGAGTTTAGCTTACATCTTTTGACATTTTTAAAACCTTAATTGGAGTATAATCAGATATGTGAAAGCTACCCTTGTGATCTGACACTCATTCTGCACAATATTTCTTTTCTTTTCTTTTCTTTTCTTTTCTTTTCTTTTCTTTTCTTTTCTTTTCTTTATTAGATGAGGCCTTGCTTTGTAATTCATACAGGGCTTGAACTCACCATGTACCCTAGGCTGGCCTTGATGTCGCGGTGCTCCTCCTGCCTCAGCCTCCCAAGTGCTGGGACTATAGGTGTAGGCTACCATGCCTGGTATGCCCAATATTTCTAAAATATATGGGCTACTTTTTGATAAAAAAACTAACTTGAATATTCTTTCTGTATGTGCCCTATAACCAAAATTCATCAGATAGTTTTTGTTCAGAGTCCAAAGGAAGTGAGGTTTGGGTTTGTATGGAATCCTGGCAGAAAGTGGGGGCAGTTGTTTGATCTAATATATTAATAATTCTATCTACTGGAGCAAAGCTAAAGCTATAATTGAATGATGTTGTGCTATTGTTGTGGTTTGTATAGGGTTTGTCTTAAAACCAATAATGCTTTATTAAATATGGGCAACAATGATGAATCTAGTTTGGCTTTTAATCTAAGGTACCTATTAATATAGTAGAATTTGAATATAGTGGAAGAAAGTTGAACAGGTTAAGGTCTTGACTCACAGGCAAATGTGTTCTTACGTTTGCTGTCAGAGATATTATAGGACATCACTGAAGACCTTTTCCTGGTCATACAATGTGGTGGGCTATTTAAATATGCTTAAATTCGTGTAAGTCTGAGGCAGCACAATTGGAACCCACAGATTGTGGGATATTTCATTTGACACGAATAAGACTTTTCCATTATTATTCATGGTGAAACATATGCCATTTAAATTAAAATTCAGAAGTTGCGATGTCACAGTGACTTCCCTAATATTGTGCCCATGGGTTACAAGGATTTGCAAAATACTGTTCCATTTAGAGCCAATAAAATTTTAACTGATGTTCAAAAAAAAAAAATTCAGTTGTGGTAAGTGACCCTAACTTTAAAGGAATTTTCTGGTATGAATGAGTTATGTTTTTCATTGCATAAGAATGTTCCTATTGGCTAGGCATGGTAGTACATGCCTGTAATCCCGTGCCTTAGGAGCTCAGGCAGGAGGATTACAAATTTGAGCCTAGCCTGGGCAATGGATATAGCTTATGTGAAGGCCCTGGTTTCAATCCCCAGTACCACGAAAGAGAAAAAGAGAAGAATGTTGTTATGATATTGCTTCTGTATCTAGGGAGGCTAATGGTTCCTGTTGGTTAGTGAGTGTGATAGTTGCAGTTGACACTATAGATGAAGGAATTTTAGCACTCTGGATTTAAAACATCTATATCAGTGATGGCGAACCTTTTAGAGACAAGTGCTTAAACTGCAACCCAAAACTCACGTATTTGTTGCAAAGTGCCAACACTGCAATTAAACTTGAATACTGAGGTTTTAGTTTAGAAAAAACAATGCATACATTAAGATCTTTTGCCTTAAAAGAAAAACAAATGACATGCATGCCATAGGTTAACCACCACTGATCTATATACACTGTATTTTCTGACTTTAAAAGTGAGAAATTAGGGCCGGGGATTTAGCTCAGTGGTTCCGCTGCCTGCCTTGCAAGCGCAAGGTCCCAAGTTCGATACCTGGTACAAAAAAAGTGAGAAATTATATAAATTAGTATTATATTATAACTACTTTCTTATTAATTGCATAGAAGTATACCTTATTCTTTTCTGTAACATTTACTTTTTGCTGCTATTATTGATCTAGTCCTATCAAAGCAACTTTGTAATATTTGTAAAGAAAATATAGAAGGATGACTGTTGTCTGTTATTGTTTAATAGTTTTTTTGTTCAGGAGGAGAGTTTTATTTATAATTTTAAAACATTTGTTTTATTGTCACAACTTTGGTATTTGGAATACCATGCAGATTTTTAGGATTGTTGTCCTAATTTGAGATAAACATTACAAAATTTTTTTATATGTGAATTTTAGTATTTTTAGACTTTTTGAGGCGTTTGTTTTATGAGCATATTCTATATTCAGTGGATATACAGTGAATAATAATATACGGTCAATAATGTTTGCATATATCGACAGTGTTGAGTTGATGACATTCATTAACCATTGTTACTTGTGACCATTTTATAGTTTAATCATTTTGGTTTACTTTAGTTGGTAAGGTACTCTGTCTTCTGCAATAAGGAGCCCTATATCAGATTTGTCTTCAAGTGCTCATGAGCAGATAAATATATTTTATGAGATTATGGGTACCACTAGATGCATTTCATTTCTTATTGGGAATCTGCTTTCTAAGAAATGGAAGAATTACTTGGGCACTGGAGTCAAGAGTGTGTATTTATGTGAAGATTAAACTGAATGTTAAGTTCTATGTACTTCACTAGATTGTAGTAAGAAGGCAGTGATAGGTGGGTACATAATTTAGAAATTACCTTGGAAACTTTATTTTATTTATTTGATTATATTTCACATGTTTTCTGTATTTAAGGTTGTAGAACAGAGATACATTCATTCACAAAAGATTTTATGTGATTTATATCAACTTTGTACTTTGTATAAGATTAGGTATAAAATCATAAGAGCAGTGACTAGGAATATTATATAAATGACTTGTTTTATAAATATAGAATTCATGAAAATTCATGTTTTGTCACTTCAGATATATTTGAGATATTTCCTACTCTTTATTAATCCCTGTATTATTTGGAGTAGATGATATGATTTTGTAAAAAATGGCCTGTTATTTAGCTCATATTTAAAAATAGTAATCAGGGCTTGCAAGGGTGAACTTAAATTGACTTAAAACACGTATTGCAGTGGTGGTACACACTTGTAATCTCAGCACCCTGGAAGGCTGAGGCAGGAGGATAACAAATTCAAGCCTAGTCTGAGCAGTTTATCAACTCACTGAGACTGGGGAAAAAGGAGAGCTGGGATGTAGCTTAGTGTAAAGACCCCAAGGTTTAACCTTCTGTACTGAAACTGAAACGCTCCCCAAAACAAATGTCTGTCTGTCTGTCTCTCTGTCTCTCTTGTGTATATTGATCAAATGTTTATGAAGAGAAATTCAAGAAAACGTTTAAAAAATTTAAAGAGGTATGTATTTTATGATCTTATTTTTTAAGAATTTGATCTAGGGAAATAGATATAAAAGACAGTCATCGATACAGGAAAGTTTTATTTGTAAAGATGTTTAGCATATAATTATTTAAGACAGCAAAGCCAAAGAATCTGACAGCACTCCTAGTCTAAGGGTGGATTAGTCATGGCACAGTTTTGGAGGAAAATACAGGAAAGTATTTAGCAATGTTCCTAGGCAAATGCTTAGTGATACAGGAAATAGTACACAGTATGTTTTAACAGAAATCACATATATAGTATTTTTTCCAATGACAGAATACATTCAGAAATATGAAGGCAATACAATTATGTTATATGTGGGGGTATTCTCTAAGTGGTGATTATTTTCTTTATGTACCTTCTATTATTTTTCAACAATGTACATGGAGCATGTTTTAATGTAACAGTTGAAGGAGAGTGGCTTAATATTTTTAAAGATTTTGCTTCTTAAGATGACTAGTACTTGACTTTTTATGTGATGTCATTTAAAAAATAGATTAAGACAGCAGGAGGAATAAGATAAAATGTAACACATTATCTGAGCCATTTTCATGATTAATTGATACTTTTCTATTTTAGATGTCAGAAAATTCCTCGCCAACTTTTCTCTGTAAAATAGCTGGCATTGGCAATAGATCTTTTTTGTTCATTTCAGCACATTTTATGAATGGATATTTATTATGAAAAGCATCAAACATCTTTTCACTAAAAGAAGACAGCTAGGCTGTTCTCACTCGATTGAGCTGATGACATACAATAGTCTGTTTAATTACTTGCTTATTCAGCAGTTTATTTTTTTATGTTTAAAGCTGTTTCATTTATTATTTAGGCTATTTAGGTAGTATACTGAAAATGGAAGCAAATTTTTCAATTGCTTTGAAAAAAAGTAAATAGTAATTAATGAATTTACTGTTATACTCAAAATTGTCTACGTTTAAGGTGAGAATCTTTGCCGATAGAAAGGTGCTGCTCCAAATTGTGAATGGTATTACGAAGACCTGCAGTCTCCGTGCTTTTTTCTTTTTGAAGATGTTGAAGCTTCCTTCTGTAGATACTCTGTGGGGAAATAGTAGTAGAATCTGGATATGATATTGACTTAGTCTGAACTCTTGCTAGTTTGGCATCAAACTCCAGCTGTAGTTTGATTATTTCCTTTTCCTTTTCTTTTTCTTGAGTTACTAACTTTGCATTTAACTCTGAGATTTCCATCTCCTTTTTCTTTATTAGATCTTTGTGCTTTTCTTCATTTAATTCAACTTTTTTCTGCATATCTTGATAAAGTTTGCTTATTTCTCTCTTATGTTCTTCCTCTTTGATTTTCATTTCATGTACAAGTTTGGCAATATTATTCTTATAGTCCTGTTTGTAAGATTTCAGCGTTTCCCTTGTCATATCAGCATTTCTTTTTAGTTGTTCATTTTCACCTCTCAAATTATGTTGATATTCAGTGGTCTGTTGTAGCCCTTTTATCATGTCATGAAGAGCAGCACATTAATGATGTGCTGCTATAGACTCAAAACAACAGGACCAGCTGGGTGTAGCAGCACACCCTGGGCCAGCTGAGTGTGATCCCAGTTACTTGGGAGGCTGAGGCAGGAAGATCACTTGAGTTCAGAAGTTTGAGACCACCCTGGGCAACATAGCAAGACTCTTTTTTAATTGAGGCTTCCTTTGTTTGCACTACTTTTAATAAAGAGGTACTCTTTTCCAACTGAATTTCTAGTATGTTATTCTTTCCACTGGTTTCTATCATTTTCTTTTCTATCTGTGAAAAATGTTTTATAAATTTGTCAATATTCACACTGCTAATTTTTTTTGTACATCCTTCGCTACTTTGATCCATGCTTGAATTGCTGTTGTTCCTGTTTCCTCAAAGTCTCCCCCGCCTCAATTGGCAGTCTGGTCTGGTCCGCCACTGACTATTATCCCCTCCATGGGACACAGTTTCCCGGAAAAATGTGCCCGTGCTTCTCCTGGCCGGGTCTGTGTCCTGTCCTTATTCAGCAGTTTAGACCCATGATGGAATAAAGGCTCTTCTTGCCTTTATATATGAAGATGAAATTGAGAGATTTTAAACATGATTTATTCTGCTTTGACCTATGGTTTGAATTAACTTGGCTGTTTGCATTCATTTTCAAGAGAAACATTTAATACTTGCAAAGCAATAATCTGACCAATCTCTTTGTTTTTGAAATTGCTCTGGAGACACTTCTAAGCTGCTGAGAATGTAAACCTTTTTTTTATTAGAGTATGAAATACAAAATTGATTTTGATAGCTCATTTTGAAAATAATATGTATTTAACGGAGTAACATTTTGTTTCAAATAAAAATGTCTCAGTGGACCAAGTTATACAAAGATTTCACCAATTCTGCTGACCTTTTCTTGCTGATCCTTAGATATTATTAGTGACCTTTGAAAGAGCTGAAGATTTTTAAAACTTGCCTTATTGAATTAGTTACGAGTAATAGTAACTAATTTCTTATTAAACTTATTTTCCTAATATGCCACCATCTCATTTCTCTTTCTTATACCAAATGTTTTCGAAACACATTGTGTACTCTCCACTTCCCGTTAATCATTAAATATTCACTTCCTGAGTCTTTGCAATCTGGTTTATCTTCCAAATGTTTAGCTGAAATTGCTCTTCCAGATGTTCACTTTTTTAATACTAGTTTTCGTACTGATGTCCTCATCTCAAACCTACTCTTTGCAACATTCCTGCTCATTTCACAGATAGCTGATGGGGCGTCAGGAAACAATACTTGGCTGCAGCAACCTTTTGTGCTTTCCTTTCTTCCACTGCATTCATGAATACTCCATCTCCTTCTGTGATTACTCTAAACTGACCCATTAGTACACTTCTCAGCTGAACTCTCCTCTTCCTACCTACCATCCCTTGTTTCCTTTCGGTTATGATCTGAGAATTCTCAGTATCTAGTTCAGTGTGTGCTATTTTCCCTGTGTAGTATGATTTCCTTCTCTCTTTAGGCTCTATTTGAATCTCTGCCTCAATATTTTATTTCTTCTACTATGGATTGTAGCAGTGGACACAGATTTAGTAGAGTAATTTTTTGGTCAGTGATATGAGACAGGAATAATCAGTCTGTTATTTAGGTAGATAAAGCACAGAAAGATGAAAGGCCCCGAGATAGTTGTATGTGCCAGTAGGTTTTTGTTTCTCATTTCTGATAGACACAAAACTATCTGCCATTTTGTTCCTTGCCCTTGGTTCACCCTTCCTTTTTCATATAGGGCAAGGATGTGGCTAAGACCCTCAGTACTGAGTGTAGAGGTGCCTTCTTCAAGAGCTGAACGGAGATGTCTTTGATCTGGATTCACATAAAAATTCAGCTCTAGTTGCATGGAATTTGTGCCATAGTCCTATTGAAGTATGAGTTCCAGCAAAGAGAGGGTGCCTGGCCTCTAATTAATGGCATAGAGAGCTTTAAAGTTTGGGCATTGAAATTTTTTCAGCTTCTCTTTGTTTTGTAAAATAGTTATAATGTTTTGATTTCTTTCCACATTTACCTTACCGGTGGTACCAAGTCATTTAGGCTCAGTTTGGGGATAGATACTCTCTCTGTACTAAAATGGCTCAAAATTTGATGTATTAACTTTAATTTCCAGAGCATATATTAACCTCTGGTGAAATACAGTGTTAGATTGTCTAATAGCAAAATTGTTCTCAGCTGAGCATGGAGGCATAGACCTATAATGCCAGCACTTGGAAGGCTGAAGCACAAGCATCACTGTGAGTTCCAGGCCAGCCTGGGCTATATAGTGAGACCATGGCTCAGCAAACAAAGAAATTATTTGCAGTCTTTATAATGTGAGCAAAAGGGCACATTATAGCTGATTACCATTAGCTAGTGTTGGAAATACATTAGAGTCTCATGTCCAGTCAGTTTTGTTCTTTCAGATATGGTATTGTGGATACTGATGACTTTTGCCTTTTAATTTGACATTCATTGTTTACATTGTGTTAAATGCTACCTCATCTGTTTTTCTGAAACTGCCTTTGAAAGTCAGGGGATACTGAACCATGCCCCCTGGCTGCATTTGAAAGTCAGGGGATGCTGAACTATGCCCCCGGCCTATATTTGTGTAAGTAGTGTTATATGGGAATGCAGCCACCCTCGTTTTTATCTGTGGCTACTTTTATACTATATGGCTGACTGGAGTGGATGTTACACAGATCATATGGTCCACTCACGCGGCACTACAATAAGCTGTCTGGAATTTTGTTCAAAGGGATTGCCAGTCTTTTGTCTGCAGTTTGGCTGGGCCCAGAGACCTCTCCATTCAAATGTTGTCTCTAAAGCCTAAAGGAATAATCAGCTCGCCTGCTTTACCTTTGTGGGTAGCAGAGTAGTGTTGCTTTCCTTGACTGTGCATAGCTGCTTGTGTCCCCTTGTTTACCCATGAAATCAGCAGGAACTCCACACTGCTCTGTGGTGGAGTCCCTAGTAGTGACTTTTTCTGGTACCTTCAGGATTGGCTGTGTGTTTGATATAGTGCCCTGATGTTCAGGTTGAGCTGAGTTGCACTCTTCCTCAACATCAGCACGTGTTGCGTGGTCACACTTGGTTACAGAGGCCGAGGGACCTGCTGCCTTTCCTGACCCATTTTGTGCTCGAGCTACTTAGCACAGGGCGTATCTTCCTGTTTGTGATGTTTTTTGAGCTACATTACATAGAGGTAGAAAATAATGCCTCTGGCACAAATGCTTTTTACTTGTATTGCTCTACAGACACAGATGCAAATTCTCCCTGGCCACGTCTGCTTGGAAAGATTATGTTTTACATAATGGAACCTGTTGTAACCTTTGGTATTTATTTCTGTCACAAATCCTTATTATAATAATTGTACACTAAACCTATTATTTATTTATTTATTTATTTATTTATTACAAAATGAACAGTAGTAAGGCTGCAAGGTAGCTTTCTGGGATGTTTGTGGTATTTGGTTCCCCATTCTTTATTGAAACCCTTCTTAGAATTCTTTGTTCTTTCCAGTAAAAGAAGCCTGCCTTTTGACCACTTTTAAATCTTGTCAAAACCATTATGACATTAGAAAGGAGCCGGGTATGGTGGTGCATGCCTGTAATCCCAGCACTCAGGGTGTTGAGGCAGAAAGATCACCTTGAGTTTGAGCCCGGCTTGGGCTACATAGTGAATTCAAGACCAGCCTGAAGTATGTAGACCCTGTCACAGAACACAACACAACAAAACAAAATGAAATTAGAAAGTTTTCTCTACAGTAATAGAAGTTGCAAGAGTGGTGGGAGCCATAGCACCAAAGAATGGTTACAGGTCATGATAATAGCACCATTAGGGATGACACATAAGACTGCTGGTTTTCTGAAAGCTGCATTTTTCTATTTTTCTATGCAGAGAACCATGGCTCCTTCATAGTAGTTACTTGTGTTGTGTTAATCCCGGTGGTACATGCCTCTCTGAATGGGTGTTTATTCTTACAAATGTTGTCACAATGTGATGTTTGTTTTGCATTGGACACACACATGTGTCTGTGAAATGCAGCCAGGAATGAGTCTGCTTGTTTTATGGAATAGCACGTTCTATGGGAAGTTGTGGGGAGGGCAATAGCATGCTGTTTTACACTCAGGTTTGAAGTCAGAGCTTGATCTGCATACCAACTCTGTTCCTTTTGGTGGGAAATCTTGTGCAAACTACCTAGCTGAGGGTTAGTGAGCCTGTAGCACGTGTGCTGCAATGGGCTGTTTGTGTCATCAAAAGCTCTAAAAGGTTCATCATCTGCTACAGGCTGAGCCTGAAGATGGCTTTTCACCTAATCCCTACTCCTTTTCTCCTCCATAGATTAGATAGTCTAAGATTGTAGACCCTGGATGGCACAGCCCCATGAGACAATTACGTTATGTGTCCTTGTTCCCTTTCTGTGCATGCCTGGATCACAAGACAATCACATTCAGCCCAGGCCACATGGGTCACGTGGCACTAGTTACCCTGCCTTCCTACACTATAAATAAAGAGTACACTGGACGCCAAAGCCATTAGCTCAACAGGCCATGGTCCCACCTGGTGGTAGCTATGAAGCTTAATCTTACTATGTATCTTCCTTGTTATTCTTCAGTTCTCTTCATCTCCCACTGGTCTTCCTGGCTTCAAACACTATACTGTGCGGGTAGTGGCAATCATCACTGAGTCCTAGCCCTTCTGAACAGGCATAATTAGAGTTTCTATGTTTTGATTTTATGGTGGTAACTAATGAAAAGTATTATCAGAAATCTGCAGCATCCATGTTTAAGGGTCGTAGAGATGTTGGGCTGTGAGGAAGAATGACCTTTCAGCATAGTGGTCCTGTAAGGTAAAGGGAACTATTGTAGACATGCAAGCATTAGTTACAACAATGTGGGCTTGGCTGTAGCATCTGTCTGTGCATGTGCATACTTACAGATTCTCTTTTCATTGAAAGAAAAGTTTCTGTCCAATTTGGTGTTTCCTAAGTGATTTTTAAATTCTTTTTTGTTTTTTCCCCAGTATTGGAAATCAAACTCAGGACTTTGTACTTGCAAAGCAGGTGCAGCACCACTGAGTTAAAGCCCCAGCCCCAGTGGTGTTCTTTTTTTTTTTTTTTTTCATTATAACACTTTATTGTAGCATCAGCAAAGGTCAGGTTTCTGAAGCTGGTGAAGATTGGGCAGCATTTCCATGTGAAATGCTACTTTACAAATTCTTTTTCAGTTTTTTAGAGCTTCATTTTTATTTTAAACAAAATTTACTGTGTGTAATTTACATACAAAAAAGTGCATATTAAATGTACCATGCAGTGAGATTTGTCAAAAACTATGTAACCACTGCCCTAAAAAGAACATTTCTATCATCTTATAATATCTCTATATGCTTTCTCAATCAGTTCCCCCATCTAGAATATTTGATAGGCACA